TTGAGCCGCATGGCAGGAACTGAACACTCAGTGGGGATACAAAATTGGGTCTCTCTGCTCCTAGTCCAACACTCTAAATGCACCATTACATTGGCTCACCTTTACCACACCAGCTCACCCATCATTTAAACATATTAGGTGAGTCCTGCCCACATGTGGCTGCTGGTGGATAAAGGGAAACTCATGACAAGATGGGCAGGATCCATGTGACTGAATTATACTGAAGAATAGAGGTGGAGGACGGGGCACTCAAAATGGGGAGCCGAGTGTGATGGCTAGACCATCTCTACATACTCATTCATCAACAGTATGCATTGCATAGCTACTACACAGAGGTGGCTTCAAATTGCTTCACATAGTAGCTGTGTGGTGAGCTGTTTAGGTATAGCGACTCATCAGGGAGATCAAGGTATTTTCTCAACAATTCAGTCGGCTATTTGTGATGGCATGAAGGAAACCAATGCATCTGTGTACCAGCTTTCATTGTACAGATGGCTGAAAAAACAACCACAACCACCAGCAGAAGACATTGGAACTGGTTCTTTGTACGCTGCAAGTGAAACCTAAGCAGAAATTATGAGCCAGCTGACCTCTATAAACACTCAGGCTTCAAACTCGCTCCGTTTTTAAAAACTGCAAGATTGGACAAATCTAGAAATGTGACAGAATAGAAAGCTAGGCAAGAATTTACCTCACCCACGGCAATGACAAAAGTACAGCCTGGGACAATCTGTGCCCTTCAGAGATTGTCCTAGGCTAAAACTGTCCTAGTTCAGAGCCAGAAGAAGCTCTTCTGTTGCCCCGTCAGCTTCCAAATGGTGCCTGCAAGCACAGCAGCCAAGCAAACATGCTCTCCCTGCTGTCACTCATGCTTCAAAGAGAAAACCAGGGATGGTGTTGGTACCAGGACAGCCCACAGCTGACTCCCATCTGGATGTAACACAGTCCTCAGGGTGGTGGCCCCTGTATGTGGCTGCAGCATGGATTCTATGGTTCTGCTTCACTTTGGTGCGCAATGGATCACTTGTGGGTTGTGCATCAACAGTCAGTCAATGTTAAAAACAACCATAGAAAGACACAAGTAAATGCCTGGGCTCTTTCACAACTCATAAATGGTCATTGTCAGCGGTAAAGGTAAAGGACCCCTGGACGGTTAAGTCCAGTCAAAGGCGACTATGGGGTTGTGGCGCTCATCTCGCTTTCAGGCTGAGGGTGCCGGAGTTTGTCCGCAGACAGCTCCCCAGGTCATGTGACCAGCATGACTAAACCGCTACTGGCGCATGGAGGACCGTGACAAATGCCAGAGCGCACGGAAACGCCGTTTACCTTCCCACCGCAGCGGTACCTATTTATCTACTTGAACTGGCATGCTTTCGAACTGCTAGGTTGGCAAGAGCTGGGACAAAGCAACGGGAGCTCAGCCCGTCGCGGGGATTCAAACAGCTGACCCAGCTGACCCTGATCAGCAAGCCCAAGAGTCTTGGTGGTTTAGACCACAGCACCACCTGCATCCCATTGTCAATAGCTGACTTAGAAGCTGCTGTTCTTAGATAGAAGATTTGTGGACATCACAAACTTAACATTGGCTTGGTAGTCATTTCTCGCTTCCGCTGTCCAAGAGTGCTAAACTGTAGGTTTTTTTGGGGGGGGTGTAGGATGGGGGTGTTAGCGATCTCTAGCAGAGAATTCTCAGCACTATAACCTAATTTCATCTCCTAAGGTGGCACGGAGCCATGACAGTTATATTGGTACACTAAAATGGATGTATGTTTGTAGGTATGTCAGAAATGCCACAAAAAAATCTATTAACTGTATTATAATTTATAAGCCACTTTTCAGCTCATGGGCCCCCAAAGCAGCATGTAACCAGATACAATCACTAATATCAAAAACATCACCAAACCATCAAAAGAAGATAATTCCCATACGTGATGGATTTCTGTTAAGAAATCAATTTTACTGGAAAGAACTTGCTGAAATTATTGAAAAGTTGTAAGAAGTATAAAGTAACACAGCCTGGATATACTGAAGGTATTGTGCGAAAATATATACAGGAATTTGGTTTTTATTGTTATTATTATTATTAGATAGTCACAGCAAGAATAGCAACCTAGCAATGTGATGATCTTGGCTGTGATCATTTGACGTCACATTTCCAGAGCACTCATTCTGACTCATGGGAATTACTAGGACTGACCTACACTATCATCTTAGGTGGTGAAGTTTTCTCAGGGCATGAGTCTATGAGCTGGTACTATTCTACCATATCATTTTCCAGTATTTAGTGCTGTCATGACATACGGTGACTCAGCAAAATCGGTCATTTACTGGAAAAAGCCGACTCTTGAGTACTTCCACGGAAGAGACTGAGAGTGTTGAAAGCTGCTACACAGATTAAAGGTAAAATTACACGTGTTAAACTTAGGGCATTGTCTGTCTGCCACCCTCTTGTTCAAAGTCTTCCCATTATATGGAAGTGAACAAAGCTAGCCTGCATGTCTTGTACCTTACCTATTTCATGCCTGGAACAGAAAGCTAAGGAACAAGGTCAGCATGTATCATCCCATCTAAAATAGTTCAAGAGCCCCGTGAAAACTCCCCACCCGCTTTTACATTTGGCTAAAGCTGTTGCTAGGGTGACATGTGCATTGGTCAATCACTTTATATAACCAAGGGATTTGAATATTAAAGGAACTGTGCTATGTTTTTGGATTTTCTTGAAGTCCATTCAACACAACTAAAGCCTAGAAAACCACCAGAAGAACTATTGCACTTGTCCAATGCATTTGTAATTGTTACTCTTTTAAAGTTTTTGGTACGCTTGTACGTTTTCACAAATTGGTGTAGTGAACAAGTGTCACTGCCTAACAATTTAAGTTTTTCCTGGAGCAGAGTGTGGACGTTAAAAAGCAGTAGACAATAATGAACTAGCTGTGCTCCAAAGGGAGCTTCCTATGTCCATATTTTGCAAAACATATTCATAGGTTGAGAGTTGGACTTAAAATACCTGTAAGACCAATATCTGCTTCAGTCACAGGACCCTGTGGCAGGACTCTGCGCAAAAGCTGCTTCTGGTGTATTCTTCTCTCTGGGGCACCCTTTTGAGCCAATCATTTGGGAGTGTGCTTCATGGCTTATATTTATTCACAAATTCTCTGCATAGCAACCATTCCAGGTGCAAAATGCTTATCTCCAACATCTGGTGATGCATAGTTACTTTGCCCAAGAAGAGGCTGCAAAGATTTGACAAGGGTGAAGCATGTTGTGAATGATTTGCTGTGCATCAGGACAGACGCAAAGTCCCCGTTATTCCACTGTGACTCCTTACAACATATTTATGTTAGGAGTGTCCTACTCTCGTGTAGGACCCTGGCAGAGTCACATGCCCGACTGGCATGTTCTCTCCCTCCTGGTCGATCGTTCGGGAGCTTCAAAAGCTTTCTGCTGCCCGAACATCACAGCGACTGATGCCAAAAGGCATTAGCCCACTCAGGGATCCGCAGAGTATTCGCAGTTTGCATAACAGAACCAATAGCTCAGCATTTGGCTAATCTACGTTTATTTACATATAATGCACTTGGAGCATTCTGACTTAGCTCCTTCCTCTTTCTCATCAGACAGCAAAGAGAGAAAGAACAAAGGACAACAGTCCCACTTCACAGAACACAGTAACACAAACATCCTGGTTCCGTCACTTCCCACACTGTGGAATGAAAACATACGCCGTCATGTGATAGACAACAATCTCATGACTGCAATCAGGAATCCTTAACAACTTCTTCTTCTCATCACAAGGCATGTTAGAAAAAAGACTTCGGTTTTGCATACCATAGAGGCTGCCTGTTCACCACCATACCTGCGGCATGTTCCATCCCAACCTCTATGGTCAGTTCATGTCATCTTCTTGATAGTTGGACAACAAATGAAGCAGAGCAACTCCACAGTGCCTTAAGGCTATGAGGAAAGATTCAGATGATGTTCACAGTCGTCAAATAACACAACTCTATTTTGCATCCTTGGCATATCAGTGAAAGTTACATTTTTTACCTGATAAGGCCAGCCCTTTTCAGTAGGCAAGTGCAGGCAGTTGACTAGGGTAGCTACTTAAAATAGGTGTGTGCAAGATTCCCTGCCCTCCATCACTTAAATACTAGTCAGCTTTGTGTTTAGCTAATTAAAATCTCATTTGTTTTGGAGCTCCCCTTTTTCTTTGGGTATTTCCATCCCACCATCCTTGATCATTATTCACTCCATCCAAGAAAAGCAGCTGCCAGAGGGAAAAGGGAAATTCCCTATCTAACAGTGTTTTGTAGTCCTCCTTGTGTTCAAAAAGATTTATTCGGAAATCCCTTGCAATCCAGTTCCTTCCCTTGGATTTGGTTGCAATAGCCCAAATCCTACTTATGAAATATTTTACTGTTTAGACTTTCTTTGCTGCCTTCCTTGACTTGCCGTTCTCTGAAGACCAACATGCGCTTAGATAGCTTGAATGAAAACTAAGTCTTTCTCAACATGCTTCTTTTGAAACAATAATTGTTCTACAACTGCTAATTTTGCCCTCCCCAGGTGGGAAAGCACCTAGGCGCAGCAGTCTAGAGACTATCACGGTAGTGCACTGCAACGCAGCATGCCGTGCTCCTAAACAGGAGAACCAGAAGACCTACATACATCTTCCTCGACTCCTTTGACCTATTCCATCCAAGTGGACCCTCAATGTATTTTTAGTCAAAACCTTGAACCATTGTTCTGCACATCCTTGCAACTTAAGCGAACACCAGGTATCCCATTAATTATGGCAGCAGGCTGCTATTAGGAAATGGCACTGCTAAAACTATGCGTAGGTGGGGTTGATTAGACAGACTTGAATCAAGGGAAGGTACATTTCCCTCCGTCCCCGCTGATTGCAACTCTTTTGCAGCGTGGAGAGGGAAGCTTTTCCTGTGCACTTATAGGAGGAGCCCATTCAAAAATAACATGGCAAAAGATTGCTGCTTGTCTCCCCAGCAGAGTCAAAGCCCCTACAGAGCACTTTCTCATATATTATATTGTGTGTGCGCGCGCTCTCTCTCTCTCTCATGTACAGTCATTGCTAGGCAACACACATTGCCACAGGAAGAATGATCAGACCAGGCAACTTGTTTAAATACAGCTCAACAGCTGATGATTCTATTTGCTATGTGATGGCTAAATGGAATCGACAAGTTCTGAAGCAGTATGCTGCTAAACACCAGCTGTGAGGAAAGGGGCAAGAGTAAGGAGATGGGGAAAGAGCTCTTGTGATTGGATCCTGCTTGAGAATTGCCTACAGGCATCTGGGTGGCCACTGCGACAACAGGATGCTGGACTAGGTTGGCCCAATCCAGCAGGTTCTTCTTATGTTCTTAAGGGAGTGTCCACGCCTCGCTTGAGGGTCTCCTGGGGGCATCTGGTTGGGTTGGCCACTGCAGGGAAACAGGAAGCGATCCTAGATGGACATTCATCCTGATCCATGAAGGTTCTTCTTAGGCTCTTAGCTACTCAGAGCTGGTGTGGTGTAATGGCAGTCAATCAGGAAGTTCCCCGTTTGAATCTCACATCAGCCGTGAACTCACTTAGTGACCTTGGACAGGCCAATCTCTCAGTCTAATCTGCAAAACCGGAAACAATAATACTGGCTTACGGTGCTGTTGCGAAGACTGCAGTTTGAGAATTGGTGTGAAGCTCTGGCCCCATGCTGACCTTCTGGAGGGAGACAGCAAGGAGGAAAGGACCTGTTGGACGACTTCTGGCACCTAACTAGGCCACGAGGAGGACGGTGGAAATACAGGTAATTTCCTCTTTGTTTTAGGCCTAAGGTGTGAGGATTTTACTTCATGGTGACAAGTCTCTTTTCCAACAGCCACGCTTCATCAGTTTCAGGGCAGAAATAGTATCATTGCCATGAAGGCACAAGGTGTAACAAGTTGTGTATGTAAATAAAACTCCTAAATTGAGCTTGACCACGTTCTCTGTATGCAGCCGCCTGCAAGGTGTCTGACGAGGCCCCAAGCAGACAAGACCAAGTACTGGGGCACATGAGGCCTGTTGTTGTGCTCAAGTCCTGCCCTCAAACTTCCCATTGAGGCATCTGGTTGGCCACGGTGGGGAAAATGCTGGACTAGGTAAGCCTTTGGTTCTGATCCAGCAAAGCTCTCCTTCAAGGCAGAGCGAAAAAATGGTCTGGTTTAGGACAATTTCCCTCTGTGGGTGCTTCCAGACAATGTGCTTGTCAAGCAACTGTCCAGATTTCTTTGCAAGGAGATGACGTTGGCTATTCCCTCTGATTTTTTATGGGGAGGCTAGACGACATTACATCAAAGCAAGTATTGCCCCCCACACTTTCCCCATCACTTTCCTTATGGCAAAAAATCTGCCAGTATGCGATTGAATCCCAGTGGAAAATAGCAGTCTGGTAGCACCCTGTAGGCTCCCAATGAAAGCACCAGGGGTGGAACTAGGCCCTGCCTATCAGCGTTATGCCTGGACTCCACAGAGAACAACAGAGGAAGTGTCCCTCAGTAGATGAAACAAAATAAAGAGATGGTGCTACAATAATCAGAGAAGGGCACATTCATTCACCCTTGTATTCCATTGCACAACCCCCAGCACATGGGTGTCATAGTCTCAGTGGAGGACTCCCAACTCTCACTGTTAAAATAGGCAAAGGACTCCTACAGAAATACTAAAAAATACCGTATTTTTCGCTCCATAAGACACACTTTTTTCCTCTTGAAAACTAAGGGGGAAAGTCTGTGCGTCTTATGGAGCGAATGTGTGGTCCCTGGGGCTGGGGGGGAGAACCCGGGCTTCCCCGACAGCCCCTGGGAGCAGCAGACAGGCTGCGCACAGATGCCCCCGCGCTCCTGAGCAGCTCTGGGGTAGCCCACGAAGCCTCCGCAGGGTAGTGGGATGAAGGCTCCCTGCTGCCCTGCAGAGGCTTCACGGGCTACTCCAGAAGCCAGAACAGCTAGAGAGAGCGCTGTGCAGCACTCCCTCTAGCTGTTTTAGCTTCTGCCTTAGTGGCGCAAAGCCTCCGCAGGGCAGCAGGGAGCCTTCATCCCGTTGCCCTGTGGAGGCTTCATGTGGCTATCCTTGGCTTTTGTGCCACATTCTCGCACGGCTATCCTTCCCTTCCACCACCTCCTAGAAAAGCCCCCAAGGGCCGCGCTCCCTTTAAAGAGCCACGCGGAGTGTGTGTGTGGCTCTTGGGGGCTTCTCCCTCCTCGGGGAAAAGCCTGCAAGCGCTGCACACACGCTCTACGCGGCTCATGAAAGGGAGCACTGAGCAGAGCCTGGGATGCATACAGGCTCTGCTCAGCGCTCCCTTTAAATAATATGTTTTTTCTTGAATTCCCCCTCTAAAAACTGGGCACACCTTATGGTCAGGTGCGCCTTATGGAGCGAAAAATACGGTACCAACATGGAACTAATTGAGTGGATTGTTTTTTTAACTTAACCAAGACACACACCATCACTCACAGTCAAGCCTCTGGGTGTTCCCATCTGAACAGGATTGTTGCGGAAATGTGGGGTGCTGCACCTGTCATAGAATTTGATAGACGGAGAATTTCAAGATTCCCTTTCGAGAAATAAAAAAAAACTCTCTCACACAACTATACATGCCAGTTCCCAAGTTTATGCCTACGGAAACTAGTTTTAAAACATGCAATGTGCAAAAGCAGAACATGCTTTTTAGCAGTGCTCAGGGTGGCTGGGCAGGGATTCACTGCCCAGCATGTTTCTTTGGCTTCCAAAGCAAGTATAAACACTAATAAATTGCAGTTTCTGGGAGCTTGTGACCAGGACTTGTAAATAGGGACGTTTGTGAAGGTGTTTTGAGGGGGAGGCCCAGCAAGCTGTGTCACAGTATACGTAGAACTAAGAGACATGGACAGTGATGGAGCTGTTGCAGGAGCTGTGCCATGTTTGTCTCCCTGCCTGAGAATGTGAGAAACTACACCTACAGCAAGTGCAAACTGGTTGCCTTGCTGGAAGAGACGATACATCAACTCAAGGTCCACCTACCCACACTTTGAGCTATCAGGCAAGATGAGGAATTTCTCCATAGAGCAGAGCAAGTTGAAAATATCTGAGATACTCCCTGGAAAGTGAAGTTATCTCACCTTGTTCTGCTACTGTGTACTGTACTTCTGTCCATGCCAGGATTTTTCTATTGCTTTTATTTTATTGGCATTATATCATATCCATTTCTGAGTGTGTATCAGCACAAACCATATACAATGTGGAATAATTCGGCCTACAAAGCCATTTCCCCCAGGTCACACATCCGTCATATATGACACCCGTGAGTAGGGTAGGAAAAGGCACAGCTCCCTGCCAAAAGCAGGGTTGGGGGGGGGATGTGCAAAGATGTTTTCCATTGCCCACACTGTTTGATTTCAAACCCTGCTTGCCGGCAAATGAAAATGCTTCATCTGATTTCATTGTGACATCAGATGACTGGCCCATGGGGAGTTGAGGAAGGACAAGATCCAGCCTACTGGCCAGATCAAGCTTCCCATCCCTTTTTTACGTGACTTCTCAGAAGTAAATCCCATTGAGTTCAATGAGGCTAACTTTCAGGTTAATTGGGCAAAGGATTGCAGCCTCAATGTCATATTCTCAGCTGCCCTGAGCATTTTCTGTCACATGTAAAGGCAGGATATGAATACTATAATAAATAAATGCCCTCAGCCACCTGATTCCTGATCTCTTCACTGTCTCCACCCAGTCTCCTTGATGCCTGATGCCCAGAACTGCCTCCCAGAATGACGATGCAGTGCCAACTCTTCTCCACACCCTTCACAATTCTCCCCCAAACCCCAACAGTTCCAATCAATGACCACAGCAAATTTAAAAACAAACAAAACAGTTGCTAATTTCAGAAGGCATTTCTCATCAGCTGGGGAACTAGAGCTTGGTATCAAAATATTTTGCTGCGTGAGACAGTGGCATTACTTTCACGCAGTTGACGTTCCATTATGTTTTTGTGGAGAAGCGGTGACTAAGAAACCAGGAGGCATTTGTATAACCCTGCACCGCTCAGCTGCTCTGTGAAATTCATGCGAGGGCAACGGGAGAATGTGGAACAAACCAAGTGGTAAACAAGGCACAGTGCAGGGGAGAAGCTATTCACAGGAGCAATGGGGGCACATTTCCTCACGCTATCACATACTGGCTGTGTAAATGTACTCTTGTAAGTGGTCTCAATCGTTTTAGGCTTTCACTTTCTTCTGCTGCTCTCATGCGGATCAAAGGATGCTGCAGGAACATTGAGTACCAGTGGTGCTGGGGTAACATCTGGTTGGCATCCATTCGTCTCGGGAGAAAATGGAAGAGTATGCCTTCGGTGGTGAAGTGAAATTGCTGGAGAGTTACAGCGCCTGCTGTGGCTATAGAGACCGGTGCAGGAGAGACATGTTTCGTTGCAATTGTTGAAGGTTGCCAGCAGAAACTTCTGACAAATGTAGAAACAAAATGGCAAGGCTTGTCTTCTGATTTTTGCAGCGTATGAAATTGCACTTTAGTACCATTAATGAAACATGCAGACCCTGAATGGGTGCCTTGACAAAGATGTACTGCCTTTTTGTACACTTATCAAAAAGCTGGAATTATCTGACATGTCAGGGTGTTCCTCCCACACACCCATGTTTATTTTTATGGCTTGCTCTTATACAGCTACCAGTTGTTTCCCATCCAAAGGACTGATCACATCCATAGCTTAGCTTCAACTATGTTGCTGTCATCAGGTACTCCCAGACTATTCACTGGGCCTAAGATGGTGTCCTTGTTTTAAAAAAGCAATGAAAAGTGCCAAATACAGAGCCACTATGATTATAATCTGGCAGGCATTTCTGTGGCTCCTTGGTAGACCTCTTTAATACATTTATTTGCTTCATCTGGGTTTTCTGTAACAAGAGCATTTTGGTTTAACGTTAATATCAATGTCTTTCAATGTCGCAAAAGGGTTTTAAGGTGCCCCGCCCTGTTGGAAGCTTAAGACTCCAGAAGATCAGCCTTGTGATTATGAAGAAACAATGGCAGGATAAATATGGAAAATCATGTTTCAACTCTCATCTAATTACTAGAACTGACTGTTTCCCCCATTACAAAATTTCATGCCTATGGAAAACTAGCATGTCACAGAGGTTTTTAGTTTTCAGTGTCAGGGAACTTTGAGAGGAGAGAGAGTGCCTTCAGGCATGAAGTCTTCTATCTCCATTCTGAATGTGGATATGAGTAACAAGGGACTGCAAGAGAAGCACCTCCACACGATATCTTCTTCCTCTCTGCAGGTTCCTCTCTTCCCAGCCCAGTGCTATGATGGGGAGGAAAATCCCATCCCACCCGCTGATTGACGGAAGTGCAGAGGGGAAGCTGTAGGTTTTCTTGTGTGTGTGCCACATGCCTGTCCACATTGCATGTGCTGCTGTGAGTATAGTGCAATGCCCACTACACTCACTTTCACTTTGAGAATAAAAATGTCAGCCGCCCGTGTTCTAATAAAAAGCAGTTCCATGCTTTCCTATGCTTGTTTGCTGGAGATTGTGTTGCTCCTTTGCTCTTTCTGGAGGAAACCCAAGTCCTTTATCATCTGAGAGCAACCTGTGTTATTATTGTTACGCAGTATTATTAAGAACGATACAAGGAAGTGTTCTTTCTGTGACTTCAAGTCATTGAAGTTTGATTGTGAATTTTTTAATATCAAGGTAAGGCAGCCCCAGCAACATCTGCTGACTTTAATGAAGTGTTCCATGTTTGAACAGTCCAGCTTGCCTCCTTATATATCAGGATGAGATGGAAGAATTGTATTTTAAGGAAGGAAATTTAAGTGGTCATGAAACAATACCATGTATGACCCTTACTCCTCCTAATTTGAAGTTCTAGCTTAAACAAATCCTTTTTTAATTCTCTTGTGCAGTTTTTTATGGAATGGCGATAACAATTAGCATCCTCCTTCTGTAAAGTTTATCCATATATTTAACATGAAAAACACTAAGTGCCACTTATTGTACAATTTTAGCTAGATTAGATTGTGGTTCCTTTGTGAAATCTGGACCCTTTCTCTTCATATAACAGACAAGAGTGGAAAATTTATACAAAGAAGGGAAATGTAGGCATGAAATGTAGGATTTGTAATTGGGTTATACTACTAAATAGTACTGGCCTGTCAGTCAATTGACCACATATCATCAGCTGATAGCCAAAATTATCTGATCAGTCATATTGTTTAAAAAATAAGGATCCCACTGTGTTGGCAGCTTACCATTTTTTATTCCATTATGGTGTCATTTGGTAGAAAGGGCAACAGCGAGGCTACTTGCACTCTAGCCCTATCACAGACAGGGGCAAACCTAGCAATGTAGCAAAGCTTCTCTTACTGGCAACCTGAAATTATAGCAGGCTGTGTCCAAACACAAGCAGAGAAACACAAGCAGCCATTGGTGACAAAGGTCACTGCCCAGAATTCAATCTTGCCTGTTACAGGAATCAAGGAGGAGGACCCTGTCAGTAGGAACTGGCTGTTTCCTCTATAAAGTTCTTGTGAGCATTTAGACTGCGAACTTAGCTGTCAAAAGAACCAGAGATGCTGGTTGAAGTAAAACACATAACATTTTTCTCTAAGAAGGCTTTCCCCTGCGGTGTGTAGAATAAAAGCAAGAATCAAAATCTTTGGGAAACATTTATTAAAAACTTGCTTGGGAACTGCCCCCCATCCCCCGGTTCTTGAATCGTCAGTTTATACAAATAGTCACTTACAAATGAATTTGTTCTCAAGCGGCATTTCTAGAGATTTAGATGAATGAAAACAAAGAAAAGGCTAAAAAAAAATACAGCTGGCAAAGAATTATATAAATAATATAATACCATTTCTACAGCATCCTGTTAGAAAAGGAAAGTTATATCTAGGAGAGGTCTACTTATATTCCCAAGATGACCATTTTCTATTTTTCTTGTATTCCAGAAGAGATTCAGAATAAAACTTACAACTGATGATGGATTTAGTAAAGGGCACAAACGAGTGACCTTAAGTCTCATTGCCAACCTGTGCCACAGGTGGTGTTTTAAATTTCTCAGCAAAGTGCTGCACTTTCAGCATAGGCACACAACCAATGGGGAGGCTTGTCCAAGTTTTCTTCTTGTCCAAGTAGTAGCAGAGTCTCTGTACAACAGTTCTTTATATTAACCAGATCTCCCTTCTCTAGCTTCCATTGATTTTTGCACTGCTAATTCCTCCTCCTTCTTTTTATAAACCTTTAAGAGATATTCATCGGGCTCAATTCCCTTTTCCTGTAATTCAGACATGATCTTTCTCAACCTTTCCAGTGTCCTTGCACTCTGCAACTTCCGAGTGGTGATGTACAGAGTGAACTCTTCCAAACTCATCAGCTTACAAGTATCAACCTCACAGATATTGCTAACGTCTTTAGTTTTATTCACCTGTGGGAAGAAAACAAGGCCTGACATTCTCTCCAGGTCTTCAATACTAACTTGGAATTCCGGCAGCTGGTGGTCAAAGCCAATAGCGTCATTGGGTACCACGAAGGCCCCAAGTACCAAAGGATCTGTGGATGTTTCACTTCTTCGGGCCAGAATCACTTTGTAAAGATGCGAGGGTACAGCCACATCATCTTTTCCAATTACCTATCAGCAGAGCAGAGAGATTATATCACTCAAACTCATCAGAAAGGAGGCCATAATCCTCCCATATCTAGAACTAAAATTTTCTACATAATGTGCAGCTGCCAAACAGATTAAAAGGAACACCATACTGAAGACTCCACTACCCCAACATCAAACCAGCTGCAGTTCTCTCATGTAGAGCTGCCAAAATAAACTCAAGCTGATAATTGACAATGTTCCCATTCATGAAATACATAAATGAAATATGGTAAAAGGAAAACGTGATGACTACCTTCTATAGTTTAAAAACCAAAGACAAAGCCCATGGAATCTGTGAATAGTACAAGTGGCAATCAATATAACAGATTATTATAACAATGATATTGAAGTAATAGTACATCAGAATTTATTTGAAATGGTCTCCAATTGTAACACATGGAAATTAGGCACAATGTAGTCAAAAAAGCACTAAAAAGACCAAAAATATAAATTTCCTGGTGAAGAAGAATCTATTACAGAGTTCTTGGTGAGATCTCTCAAAAGTCTGACAAGGAGACAAAAACAGATTTTGGAGAAAGACAGTAAAAAGCATCATAAATTCTCTGTGAAAGCATGTCTACCCTGCACACAATCTGGTTAAATAGCAGTGACCCTGCCTTCTTTTATGGTATCCTGGGAACAGATTAGCAGTCTCAATTATAAAGAACAAGAGGGACAAGTGACAAAATGTAGAGTTTTCAGTTCAGGGCCATCACCTTTTCCAAGATATTGTATTCCTTTTCCTTCTCCCCTGCCCTCCATTTCCCATATCCTAACATACGCCCCACACAACAGCCAGTCAGCATTTTGTGATCATTGAGCATGCTTTTTTTTTTAACTTTATTTATACTTACGCATCATACAAACACTAAATAAAACAAGCAAATAATACCAAAACAGAAAAAATGCAAAGCCAGAAATACAAAAATACAAACATAATGACACACACATAGATCATTGAGCATGTTCAGTCTTCTTTGGGCTGTTTTTTTTAGGTATGTCTCCCCTCCCTTTTTCTGGACTTCTGCAAACCTTGGGGTTCCCCTGAGTCTGCTGATACCTCACTCTTGTGCATGGATATAGCAGTTTTGACTAAGTAGGTATCAGCTTTCAGAGAATGTTTGCTATTAGTATAAATGATTCTTTGATCTTCTGGAAAGCTGACGAGTCTACTGTAGTTGGTTTTAGGGGAGCCATGACAATGAAACCAGTTTAAAACTGGCTTATAGTGGTACTGCCAAGCTTGGGGAAAACATTTTATCAGGACGGTTAAACAGATGCTGTATAAATCAACAATGATGTTTGTCTTTTCCCCACAGATTGTTTCAGAACACTGATTGCAAAAAATTCCTCTTGTACCCTATACAACTGATTTGCCATTAAACTGATCAAAATGAAGAGGTGCTAAATTTGCTGTGATTGCAGGAAAAGAAAATATTTACCAAAGATGGATGTCTTTCATTCATAACACACACAAGCTGTTTTCCAGGTCATAGCTTAAAAACAAAAATGGTTTTAGTATCAGTATGTCAGACTTAGGACCAACACACTCTGCTTCACATGCTATAGAATATAGTCACATATATGAGAGCAGGTTTTCACCCAATTTATGGAACTTTTTTCACAACAGTCACTGCGTGAAGACAGGACTGCATTTCTATTTGAAAGCTACTCTGGGAGTAAAAATGCTTTAAATAGGCACATAAAAGCACACTGGAGCATGTATGCACATATCTGAGGGTAGAGCAAGGCCTGGAAAAAAAACAAAAAACTGCTTCCATGTGACTAGGGGCTCCATGCTGAAAGTATGAAGTATATATTTATGCAATATCAACCATCTCAGATGCTACAATCAGCGGTATCATCATGATGTTGGTGGTATCATCACTGAGGGCTGCCCAGCTGGCACTGAACTGTGACACGGTCTTTTCAGTGGTAGCTCCCTGTTTGTGGAATGCCCACTTAGTGAGGTGTGTCTGCCTCCCTCATTACTGTATTGACTTTCAGAAGCAATTTGAAAATATTCCTGTTTATCCAGGCATTTGATGGCTGAAAGGAACTATTCCTGGCAACCTTGAGATCTCTGGTTGAAATAATGGTTTTATTAGAATTATTTTATTAGAATTATTAGAATATTTTTAATATTCTAAAAGTACTGATGTGTTTGCTGCCTTGGGCTCTTTTGGAAGGAAGGTGGGAAATAAATAAATAAATAAATAAATAAATAAATAAATAAATAAATGTATTTATTTAAACAAATAAATGTATTTTAAAAAATAAATAAATGTAAAGGGTGATATATGCTGGGAGGGGAGAAGAACACTGGCAATGGAGGATCATCCCCATACTCAGTTGGAAGGATACGCTTGTTAAAAATTCTGGAATTCTTAAACTGATCTTCCTCCTCTTTCATTCCATTCCATGTAGCAAGTCTTGAGTGACACACAAACACACACACCACTCAGCTATGTAGATATAATAGCTTTCTTGTTCTTTTCAAAGTTACAGAACCCGTTTTGTGAACAGCATGGAATCCTGGACTTCCACGGCTCATGAGAGAGAAGTGGGTGGTCTCTGCATGTAGGACCTGCGCAGAAGTGCCCCCGCAGGTGCTCCACCCACCACAGGTGGAGTTGTGCAACTACTGCTGCAACTTCCAGCAAGAGCTCATGAGATCTCTGCGGAAGCCGTTGCTGTGTGACCCCAGGAAGTGAGGCTTGGGGTGGGGGGCAGCACAGCACAGCACCTTCCTGTTTTGCCTCCAGTGGTGAAATGGAATGGCCCGCCTTTGCCTTCATGCACAGAGCTCCGACATCCACAAGGATCCATCAGAGCCTCTGGAGCACAACAAAGTGGTTAAAGACTGTGTACTTTTATGTGATCAGCTATGGTAGTGCATTCTTATTTGTAATGGGAGGTAGCAGTATCTTGCACAGAAGTAGCGAAAATACCAATCAACTGACAGAGCAACAACAAGAACAAGAGACTAACTCCCACCACGTGAACGGCACTGCAAAAGACTTTTATGATTATAGTGCATTTTTGAGACAGGTAATGTGCATTGTTCCACATGATTGCTCAGCCCAAGCAAGCTGAAAAAATATCAGCATGTTCATAAGCTATGTCTTTGTAGTTTTGAAAGTAATGTCTTCATTCTGAGAAGCGGTTCAAGCATGGGACTCTGGATATTTTATGCCCGAGTGCCACCTAGTGGCTTTTTAGATGTAGGTGCTCTACTTAAGAGCTTGCACATCCATTTCCATAATTTAGATCCGACACACATTTCTCTCGCTGCTTGACTGAGACAGACAGAGAGCATATGCCCTTATGGTAAGTGAACAGAAAGCATCTGAAAACTATTCATGCACACATGTCTTCTTTGATTTGTGATCATCTATTCACATACAAGGGATGATGAGAGAGTCACCATTTGCATCTTCTGCTGCTACAGCGACACAGACTGGCCAAAGAACAGCAGTGGCCTTTTTACAGTGTCAAAGACTTGCTGTGATTTAAATGCTAGCACAAATAAAAACAAACTACAGTATTACATTGTGGAATTTGGTCCCCCCATCATGCTAACTAATTTACTGTTTCATTTGTACGATTTGTATCCAGCCTTTCATCATAAAATGGCAGGTCACAAAATACAAAAACAAACAAACATAAAAACAGTCTTTAAAAATAATAAAACTTAAAAAATATGGAATCTGGTTTTGTATATAGATTATTTATTTTAAATCATTTTTATACACCCTTTCATTTTTAAAAAATACCCTCAAAGCATGACTCACACCTCACAGCATAACTGAGGTGGTTTAGGAAGATACCACGGTTAATGGTATCACAAACCACTGAGACATCAAGCAAAAGCAACAAGGTCACACAGAACCTGTCCCTCTTCTGGGTCATCCATTAGGGCAACCAAGGCCCATTCCCTCCTGAAACTCGAATGGATCTAGAATGGGTCTAGATAACTGGCCTTCTTCCCACCTCAGAGTCCTGCAAATGGACTACTAAGTACCTTCCACAAAATGGGCACAGTAGCAACCAGATGGCGCTATCATTAGCACAAAGAGAGGATCCAAAACCACACAGCTCATAAGGAAATAGAGCAAGGCATTGCTTACGGGGTGGGGGGAAATAAGTGGTTTAATTCACAATACAATCACAGTTACGGGTAGAGGTAACAGGACATGTTGCTGAACCTCTATCAATTTTGTTCTGCTAACTTACTATATATAGATTTGTTGACACCACTGGGTTAGTTTGGAAGACTTCAGTGTTGTGGGAGACCACAGAGAGTGGCTTGCCACCACACTGTTCTGATTTTGCTGAGACTGGTATAAAAAGGAACAGCTAGCAAAGGCATACCTTTATGTCAGATCTATCTAACACAATTACCTCTACCCGAGTTGATTTAAGATAAGGTGACACCTAGGCTTTCAACAAAGTCTCTTTGCTAGTTGATTCCAGGATGGCATGTCTGTTCCATCAGTGAAGCTTTGTCCTGGGCTGACCAGAAATGCTCTCTCCTGAAGACAGGAGGGACCAGCCACACCAAATGTGTACAGTAAGCCACCATTGTTCAGTTATGATCATCTATTGTCGTTAAAACCTTTTGGGACCAGCAGCAAGTTTTATTGCAACAGGAACTTGTGAGTGATTTATTCAAAGCTGGAAAAAATGAGCTGCTTTGTTGTTTTTGTCTATGCTTAACCCACATAAATGCCCCAAATTCACCAGCCACTGCTAAATCATATTTTATGAGATCCTGTGGCTGAGAAAACTGTATTTCTGGGGCACTCACAGTGAGGGGTGCTAGCCCCATCACCTGCTATTAGCATGTCAGGGCTTTGTTCCAACCTTAGTACTTGCTTTGCGGAAACTCTTCCCATTTTACAGCCCACCCAAATAAAGCAGCTACAACAGGTCAATAAAGAGAGGGAGAATGCCAATCTGCTATGACAGGTAAGTGTGCAAAGCGAATGATTACAACACATGAAAAAAAGCAATGTGTCTGCATTTCACTACCAGTGTCAATTACTGAAAGTATACCTGGAACAATGGCCCAGTGTAATAGCTTCTCTCGGTTTCGTACTGCTGCAGAAATCTGGGTCTCATGACTTTGAATCATTTGATGGTGTGTTTCAGCTGGAATATTGGTCAAAATTTCTAACTTTACTAGACACATACTACATTATTCATAGGACTGAATGTCAGGAACCATTGTCCCTTCTATTCTACCCTAGTAAAGGTAAAGGGACCCTGACCATTAGGTCCAGTCGCGGACGACTCTGGGGTTGCGGCGCTCAACTCACTTTATTGGCCGAGGGAGCCGGCGTACAGCTTTCCCGGTCATGTGGCCAGCATGACTAAGCCACTTCTGGCGAACCAGAGCAGCACACGGAAACACCGTTTACCTTCCCACCAGAGTGGTACCTATTTAACTACTTGCACTTTGACGTGCTTTCGAACAGCTAGGTTGGCAGGAGCAGGGACCAAACAACGGGAGCTCACCCCGTCGCAGGGATTCGAACCGCCGACCTTCTGATCGGCAAGTCCTAGGCTCTGTGGTTTAACCCACAGCGCCACCCACATCCCTTTTCTATTCTACCCTACCTGGGAGCAAAATAAATTACCCCAAACAAACTGTGTTCACAATGGCTACTGCACAACCCTGAAACTGGCATCAGTAGACGACCTGACCCAAACCCAAATCTGAACTTCTTGTAGGTGTCACAAAAACATTTATTTGAACTTATCATTTGGTGGTGGGAATAAATGCTGGCAATGTGATGGGGTTTTCACATTCAAGGCATAATCCAAATAAAAGTTGGTGTGCAGTTAAGTAATTATAGTGCAATCCTATGCTAAGTCATGATTATGTTGAGGTATATGGGCCATAGCTCAGTGATAGAGCATCTGCTTTGCATGAAAAAGGTCTCAGATTCAATTCCTGGCATCTCCAGGTAGGGCAAGGGAAGACTTAACCTCTGCAACCCTACCACTAGACAGCATAGACAAAACAAACAAACAAAAACAGCTAGATGGACCAATGGTATGACTCAGTATAAGGCAGCTTCCTGTGTTCTCAAGGAGATCAAAGCAATGTAACTGTGCTGGATTGCACTGTTAAGACCCATTTATTTCAATGGAATTTAGGCACTAACTATGACTGAAAACCAACTGAATAATCATCTGCCTTTGAAACTATTTATTGATTACATTTAGATAAATCAGCATATTACCCAAATGTCAATGTAAGTGCTTTTTTTGAAATACCAAAAGTAAAATAACTTTTCATAGATCATAGAATCATAGAGTTGGAAGGAACCCATCTAGTCCATCCGCCTGCAATGCAGGAATATGCAGCTGTCCCATATGGGGATCAAACCTGCAACCTTGACATTATTTTAATATTTGATAAACAAAAACTACTTCTAATTGTCAGAAAGAAACACCACCTTTAACATCTTATTGCAATTTTCCAAACAAAATTAGTATTTAAAAAGCAAAAATAGTCTAAATTTGCTGTCCTATGAATTATAAGTTACCTTTGATTAATCAACTACAACTTTCATTGACTAATTTACCAATTAAACACTGTAGCCCTATTTATTCTTCACTTTTTAAATTGTAAGTGGTATCTCTGGGAGTATGTGAGCTAACATCACATCTTCCATTTACAAAATGTGGGTTTTGTATGGCACAAAACTGGCCTCATTTTTATGGGACAGAGAATACATAGAACTCTCTAAAAGTATCAAGTTTTCCAATACAAAAACCCAAATGGGTCATAGAGGCAGGTAGTGTTTCATGCTTCCAGAAAATCACTGAAAAACCCACCACTTAAAACTTAGAAGAAAAATGCATTTTCACCCAATCTTTCCCTTAAGTTGGTAATACGAAACATAACAGTAGAACTATGCCTGCCAACTGTTCCCCCAGATCAAGCGTTCTTTTAGCAACAGTACATACAGCTGTCATATAACCCTTCTCCAGCTATAGCAGAAAGTGACCTGAAGAAACTATTAGAGAAATAAAAAGGTAAAGGTAAAGGGACCCCTGACCATTAGGTCCAGTCATGACCGACTCTACACCTTTTAAAAAAAGATACTTGCTCTGTTGGCAACATAAACAGGCAGAGTGTAAGAAGAAATATATCAAGATCTTTGTGAGTCAGTGCCCTCTAGTGAGTGGGCAATGCAATGCCGCCACTGTAAACAAAATTAGTGGATATCACTGGACCTTTGCCTCAGAGATGGCAATTACCTGAGATTTCTGCAGGGTACGGTCAATAGAAATCAAATTTCATCAAGACTTAGCTGCCAGCACACATTATCCACCGCTGCACACTTCGCCTTGCATCAGAGGCAATGTTGTCAGATGCATTAAAACAACATCCACAGAAACTCTGTGTGCCCCAGTGACCCTTTCCTTCCCGAATGTACTTCAGAATCCTTGAAATCTTGGTGGAACTCTGTAGGCTCAGAAAAATAACCTTACTCCACCTCATCCACAAACTATGTTGTTCCGCTCCAGGCAAGGCTGCGCCACAAGAACTGCCATACCAAATCAGGCTAAAGAGCCATCTAGCCAAGTCCTCTCCTTGAATGGCGGCCAGCCAGGTGCTTCAGGGGAGCTCACACGCAGGATGGAGATAGCAATCCCCTGTAAGCCTACTACCCCTATGAGTGATCTAATCCATTTTTAAAGCTGCTGGTGCTACAGGCCATCAAAACATTCTGTGGCAGTGATGACCACCACAGATGTGGACATATCGCCACACTGGTCTGCCCTGAATCAAATTTTAGTCAAGTTCATTGGATGACCTTAGAATTGTAGCCTTTTAGAAACACATAAATCAGAGGAATTATCTTAACTTTCAAAGTGAGCCACAGACGTTATTGATACTCATTTTTTAATCAGCTATCTAGGACCAGAATAACAAGAAGGTGGGGTCCAAAAATTCATTTAACTGCAATATAATTGTGCGGTGATTACTAGACACACTATCCTTCTTGTTTCTTGCTTAATCAGCTATCTAAGACCAGAATAACGAGAAGGTGGGGTCCAAAAATTCATTTAACTGCAATATAACTGTGCAGTGATTTCTAGACACACTATCCTTCTTGTTTCAGAATAAGCATGTGGCTTCCTTGGGCACAGCGTCTCCAATGAAGTGTTTGGTTTTCCCAAGCTGTTACTTGAGCGATGACACTGACCATTAAATATCTTCCTGAAGATAACATTATTCTAACAGATATCACCTCAGGCCTGGCCGTTCACTCGAGCTTTATTATAAACATCCTTTACAGAAGGGAACTAACATTGGTGCTGGGCAGAATTCGCTTCTTCATTAGATTTATTTTTCTGGTTACAACTGTCTTAAAACAATATGAAGTATCCACTACTCCATTACTCTCTGGATTACTGTTGTTATTGACTGCTTTTTACTGCTTTTGTCCTTTTTACCCAGCTTTTCAATCTCAGAAGGCTCTATCAGGAGGAGACTTCAGGGAGCTCCAAGTTAACATGATGTGAAACCTAGACTCCGAAGGGGCTTCTGCTTGATGTTACTTCAGTATTTACTCCCGCTTTGGTCATATGTACTGAAATAGCAAAACCATGAAAGCCAATGAAATATAGGACATCTCTCTTGACCTGGATATGATTGAATCCTTTTGTGTCCCCCTAAAAGGTGTAGACAGTACCACTTGGCAGCAACAAATGTATTGTGTCCTGCCTTCATTGTTTAAGGTAATTGTCCTTGAAATTAATGAGAAAATGATAACATATTCTTAGGAGATATTATTAGCATTCATATTAATTCTGCATCCCTCCTTCAGACATTATTATTCTTTTGGAAGGATGTTTATCATTCCAATCTTGTGTATTAAATAGAAAATCTGCCTACTGTGTCTATCACACTCTCTTGTTCCCCATCAGCATATAATTTATTTTTTTAAAGCATACAAAATTTCTTAGCAAAATTATGAGTTGGTACTGTTAGTGATACACTTATTTATTTTCTCACAATGCTATAAAAGCTACTAGTAATACAGGGATGCTTTTTTAAAAAAGTCATCCCAAGTGTACAGAATATTTGCAGAGAAAATGCCTGTAATTCTTGAGAAATCATAGAATTGTAGAGTCTGAAGGGTCCGCGAGGGTCATCTAGTCCTACCATCCACAATGCAGGAATCTCAGCTAAAGCATCCATGACAGATGGGCATTCAAACTCTGCTTAAAAACCTCCATGGAAGGAGAGTCCGCCACCTCCCGAGGAAGTCTGTTCCACTGTCGAACAGCTCTTACTATCAGAAAATTCTTGTTTAGTCAGAATCTCCTTTCTTCTAACTAGAATCTATCTTCTAAACTCTTTCTTAGAAAAAATTATATTAAGTTCTTCCGAAAAACCCTCAGTGAAAACAGCTGGTCAAAGTTCTTTAAAAACAACTGTTTATGACAGACAGACAGGAAAAAAATTCTTTTTTTAATTAAAAAAAACCCTTGTCATTAAAACTCAATTAAAAATATTTGATAAAAGCCCACAACTGCTTGCCAAGGCTGGTGGGGGAAGGGTTTGTCCCCAGTGTTGTACTCAAATCTTTTTCAGATCAATAATTAGTAAAGTATGATTCCCCAGCATCCTGAGAAATCCATCAGAGAAGCATAATTGTTCAAAATGTAGATGATCTGACCTTCCTCAGAATGAAAAATCCTGAGGTTTCATACAGGAGGTTTGGTAAGACCCATTATCCACATGCTATTCACATTTTTAAAATAAAGTGAACAGAATAATTCAACATCATTAACAGTGAAAGGCAAACATAACTGAATAGCTATAATTGAATAACAAGGCAGACATTAATTAATGTGTATGCTTAATCAGCTAATTCACAAGCCATTTAGATTTAAGGCTTTGTAGTTGGAAAATCCCCTCCTAAAGTGTAAGGGCAGTTCTGTAAGAGAATGACCTGCCTAGAGGGCTTGTATAAATTCCCTTCTTTATTTGGCTTGTTTCATCCACTTTAAATCAGTTGGGGGAGGCAATCCAGGGCATTCTCCAACTCAGGGGAAAAAACTAGGGATCTGATCCATGCTTATTTAAAACAAATCCAAGCCAGTAAGCCATTTTTGGTGGCCAATGCTTCCTCAGGCAGTTGGAGCCGATACATTAACACATCACCAAGAGCCTCTGAACAGCTCTCATAAACAGTGGGCTGCATCCAAGCAACAGATTCACAAAGTAAACCTGATAAAAATCACCTTATAATGTTTTTAATATGCCGAAAGTCAACGTGAGAAATAATCCCTCTGAACATCTTGCTTTCTGGTGGATGTGTTTCATGGCAGAAGTAAACCTGAGTCTTGTAGGACTTTGTTCTCAAGAAACTGTGTGGGGAACCTTTGGCCCTCCAGATGTTGCTAAACTATGACTCCCATCATCATGATAGCTGTGCTTGCTGGGAGATGTAGTTCAGTAACATTTGGAGGGATTTCAGTAACATATAGGTACGCGGGTGGCGCTGTGGGTAAAACCTCAGTGCCTAGGTAAAACCGCTGTGGGTAAAACCTCAGCGCCTAGGACTTGCCGATCGCATGGTCGGCGGTTCGAATCCCCGCGGCGGGGTGCGCTCCCGTCGCTCGGTCCCAGCGCCTGCCAACCTAGCAGTTCGAAAGCACCCCCGGGTGCAAGTAGATAAATAGGGACCGCTTACTAGCGGGAAGGTAAACGGCGTTCCGTGTGCTGTGCTGGCTCGCCAGATGCAGCTTGTCACGCTGGCCATGTGACCCGGAAGTGTCTGCGGACAGCGCTGGCTCCCGGCCTATAGAGTGAGATGAGCGCATAACCCTAGAGTCTGTCAAGACTGGCCCGTACGGGCAGGGGTACCTTTACCTTTTAACATTTGGAGGGCCAAAAATTCCTCACACCTGGTGTATAGAGATGCTGCCTAATATGGTTTCTCACAGCAGCATTGTATTTATTCATTTGTGAGAGTGATACTATTTACAGTCGTTTGCAAAAGAATTCTTATTTTTGCTAAACATTTTCTGTTTTATTCGTAATTTATCCAGTCATTCTCTTTGTTTAAATTAAACATGGGTTAAAAATAAAAGATCCAAGTCCATATACTTCAGCAATGAAATTCCCTCAAATAAGAGACTTTCAATGAAATATTAAGCATATATAAGGGAGAGAATCCAGAGTCTGGGAATTCTGGGTGACAAAATTATAAATTTTGCATTTAATATGCGTTCAATCTGAGTGAAATGTAGGAGGAAAAATGATTGCAAATAGAAACATTTAGAAACAAAGATCTGCTAGCAGACAAAAGTCACTAAACTGACATTCTCCAGAGAACAGCAGTATATAAAGCAAGATGCTGTCATTTTGATTTGCTCTGGACGAAGATGGAAAACCTGCTCCTGCCTCTCCAGTGACACAGAAGAGATTCTTCCTGTTGGCATTCTCTTTTACGTTTTCAGACATACATTTATATTCTGCAAATGTGTCTCCCAAATATCAAGTGTGGTCATCAATCTGTATTTGCAACAAATGCTTCACCAAGGCAGACAAAACAATGGCACAGACCTTGATACACACCAAATTCAGCCACCAGATAGCAGCAGCTTTAGATTAATTTATTTGGTAATGAGAAGTAAGTGGTAACATAACCCAAGCAAGGAGCAATGCCATAAGCAATACTTTGGGAGTTCGTCTCTTTGCTTAAGAGATCTAAAAATAATCACATGTCCATAAGGGCAAAACAAAAACACAAAAACAATAGTATAAAGCCATTAATTTAATAGTTAACTTTAAACAGTGCACAGCCACTGGCTGAACACAATTTAAGTGAGCTTGAAGAGGATACAGCTATAAACCAGAGCTAAAATAATTAATCTATGCATTATTATTTTTTAAACGTAAAGCGTATTTTAATCTCGTATTTCTAGAATTCACAACATTACTTGCATCATATTAAACAAGTCACAGGACTTCACTTTTCTGGATGCATAATTTTGATTTGTTTCACACACAGTAAGCACAGCTGTTAAAAATCCACCACTTGATTCCTAGTATCTACTGCCTGCAGAGATGGCGTGCACTGCATTGCCTCTTACTGATTTTACTCAGTTCTGTTTGCTGCCCACAAATTGTCACTACTCCTTCCTCACAATACATGACTTCAATTTTGCTACTTGGGCCACTGGACCTATTCTATGCACATGATCCCATATTTATATTCATCAGCTGAGACCACAAAGCAAATTCAAAAGGACTACTCAACAGTATAAAGCCTCAAATCGTGCAACCTTACCACCGGTTGTTATTGCCTTTCTCACACATGCAGTTCCAAGGCTGCATCCAGTTCAACTCCTAAGAAAACCTGCATGGCAGAAAACCCCCAACAAAATCAAAGAGGACTTTGTTCCAATTATATGGCTAGGTTCAATAGCTTACCTGATACACAACCCTTTTTTTCCCATCATCATCCATCTGAGGTAATGTCAAAGGTCCAGAAACAATCCAGACATCTTCAAATCTGTCAGTCAGTTCCCGGCAATACATTTCTAGCCTGAAATTAAGCCAAAATAGTTTAAACATATGGACTAGCCTGGGGCTGGGGAATTCCAAACATACCTAGAACAGAGAAGGGCAGTGGGGCATTTTAGGGATGGCATAACATTTCCCAAGCTAAATATATTAAGTAAGCATGATGAGCAAATGTGAGCTTTAATCTTCAGTTTATTCCTATATGGCGCTTTAGCTCAGCAACCAGATCACAAATCAGGTCTCTGCCTTGTTTGCTTCCATTCATATGTATCTTTGCACATGCTTGTGTTATTGTTTGGTCTGTACCTTGGGGAAGCTATTAGTGGAAATGCTTTGTTTCCAACATGCTGAGTCAATACTTTAAAAAGCCAATACTTTATTTGCACCTTTTATATTCAAGCTGATTGGTAGAAAGTGCTTTGTTTCCAACATGCTCAGCAAGTAGAGGTCAGAGTGTATCTGTTTACAATGAGTAGTAGGCAGAGACCCATTCCTGGACTCACCCACATTTAGTAGCTACCAAATTAACAGAAACCATTATCATACTGTTTTCCCTGCTTGAAGCGAGCTAATTCTATTTCTGTGCTAGTGTGTGTCTAATTAATTGAATTCCATTCCATTCCATTGGATTTGTAGGCTTTAAAATGCCGTGCACTGTGTGCTTTCAGGAAGAGAAATATTATAAATCTCAATAAATAAATATATGAACCCTGGAGTAAGGCTTAATATGCCTGCCACTTGCCCTGGGCAGCACTTCTCTTTGCATAAACAGACTATAGGAGCTTTCTGGCTAGATCTCTAGAATGCTAATATGTGTACTCCTCCCCAGAGAAAGCTACATAGTTTCTCTAGTTTATTTCTTCATTTTTTGTCTTCTTCCCTTGCCTCCCTCTCTCCAGGTTAGGCTGACACATGATTAAAATGTTTAAAATATCACTAAACAAAATTTTACCTTGAATTTAGTTAATCTAGTAGCAATTTACCTATTCCAGAATCCAGCATTATTCTGATAGTTCTGGGGTACAATGTTGGATAGATAAAATGTTTCTGCCATAGCCTTCTGTAAGAAAAAAGAATTGTAAACGAAATTTTGGATGGATACCCAGACCTACTTAAATGCTCAGATTGAAACAGAATAAAGCAGTCAAATGTCAATGTTTATCTCTTTCAGCAAGAACCACCAAGAAGAACATTCTAATACATTTACACACAGAACATCATTCTGTTACATGATATATTACATTTCAAAACTGCTGCCTTCAAATTCAATCTGCTTTTTAAATTACTCACTTCCCCCTGGTCACTATGGCTAGCACAGTCTTCCCCAAATTGTTGGTCTCCAGATGTTCTGGAATACCTCTCACCATCTCTAATCAATGGCCATATTAGCTGGGGATAATGTGAGTTGTAATCTAAAATGTCAGATGGGCGCCAAAGTGGAGAAGGCTGGGTTAGCAATATTTTCCAGTTCTCTCAAAGCACTTTCACAGCTCTGTCACTGATTTTAGGAACCATGGATTCTGTTCCAGTCCCCTCCCCTTCAAAGAAACAACAAGCCAAGAATTAAGTAGCAGTCCTACTGGTGAATATTTGTTATCCCCAGCTGGTGCCATATGGCCTCGTGACCAGCCACTCCCGATGTAGTCTTCATTCAAGGCAGTGAATATTGGAGGGATGCTAGGATCTGGTCTAAATTTGCAATGTTTTCTGTCTGCATTGCCTGAGGAACAAAAACAAGTTGTTCAGCAAACCTTTTCTTTTTTTAAAAAAACAAAAACTATACTAAATGCAACTGACAAAACTGCAAAATAAACAGCAATCCTAAACAATATCCTAGAATACAGTCCGTTCACATGGAGCACTGACAACGCTTATTGATCTCTATTATTATCCTGTGTGAGCTGGCAGTGTGCATTCAAGACTCCCATGAAACTCTGCATTGCAAGGAAAAACCAGTAGGTGAGCTGTCTTTCAGGGAAGATTGTCCTCTATTACTGATGTTTCTCACCGAGAAATCTGGTAAGCCTCAGATGAGTCCTCTACTCCTACACACATCATGTGCACTTAGCCAATCACCCTACATTGCCTGCAGAGATCCACATGTTTAAGGGTCACAAAGGGAAGAGGATGTAGAAAGGGCAGGAATCACATGGAAATGAAAGCCTCATTGACTGAACAAGTCCATATCAATGATAAACAAAAAGGAAGGATTACTAAAATGCCTACAAGCTTGCCCCAAAACTAGCAGACATCCATAGGATATGCTCTTAAATTCCACAGACATCCACTAACTATCTTGCACCTACTGTATCAATTTGAAGTCTCACCCATAGATGAAAAGAATATTTATGGGCTAGCAAGAAGCACCTTCATGCTCATATGCTTTCTTCGGGATCTATAAATTTTGGCTGAGCTTGGCTTCTAGCAGGCAGTGAGGTTCAGTTTTCTCATGTCCTGATCCATGGAGGCAGAGCATCCCTCTTTTATACCTGCTGCCCAACCACATCTATGAAATCTTGTGCTCTTTACAAGACTATTGAAAGCTTGTGTATGTGGAAAACATAATTTACCCACCTGACAGAAGAATCCTATGCATTTTTTACTCAGAAGCTCCCCTACGCTCAATGAGGCTTACTCTCAAACAAAGGTCCTATTACTCGTGCACAGCCAGTGAACTGCTTCTAACCCACAAGTAAATTACTGTATTTTTTGCTCTATAAGACTCACTTTTTCCCTCCTAAAAAGTAAGGGGAAATGTGTGTGTGTCTTATGGAGCGAATGCAGGCTGCGCAGCTATCCCAGAAGCCAGAACAGCAAGAGGAATTGCTGCTTTCACTGGAGCAACGATCCCTCTTGCTGTTCTGGCTTCTGAGATTCAGATTTTTTTTCTCTTGTTTTCCTCCTCCAAAAACTAGGTGCGTCTTGTGGTCTGGTGCGTCTTATGGAGCGAAAAATACGGTAATTACAAGCAATGAACAAATGCACACAAGAGTTCACTTACCCAAAGTCTTATGTTTGGAAATATGTTCAATCACCCATCTAGGCACTCGTTTTGCCTGATCATAAGATAATGCATGATTGGTGTAATATCTGATCTGTGTTCCAGCTGCAGGAAATCCATACTTTTCCAACACAGTCTCTGTTATGGGTTCTAAGAGAGAAATAAAGAGTTTTAAGGCCAGAACATGTGGGATTTGTTTTCTTCCACTGAAGAGTTGCCAGAAAGGCATCAAATGCCCAAGAACCCCATTAACAACTGAGAATTTACCTAAGACTTACAAAACCCTTTTCATTTCTGGTAGTTTCAAGTGTATGAGGCTAAGCTTTCTTTCCATGCAAAGCACCACATACATGGATGGTGCCAATATTACTGCAATGTGCTCTATGTAGGGGTACCCTTGGGCCAGGTTGGGATGCTCGAGTTGGTACAAGATGCTGCAGCTTGACTGCTGATGGAGCCAGACTGCTGCCAGCAAGTAACACCAATGATTATGAGCTTGTACTAGCTACCCTTATGTTACTGGGCCAAGTTCGTTTCTTGTATCAGTTTTTTAAGGCCATTAACAACTGGGATCCAGAGTACCTTCAGGGTTGCCTGGCTTCTCAATTGCCTGATCACTAAGACCATTAAGGAAGTCTCTGTTAGTTGTCCCTCATAGCTCAGACGCATGGATTGTATCCACCAGGAACTATGCATTCAGTACAGTCAACTGATTCTGTGGAACTAATGATTAAAAGGGACGCGGGTGGCGCTGTGGGTAAAAGCCTCAGCGCCTAGGACTTGCCGATCGAAAGGTCGGCGGTTCGAATCCCCGCGGCGGGGTGCGCTCCCGTCGCTCGGTCCCAGCGCCTGCCAACCTAGCAGTTCGAAAGCACCCCCGGGTGCAAGTAGATAAATAGGGACCGCTTACCAGCGGGAAGGTAAACGGCGTTCCGTGTGCTGCGCTGGCTCGCCAGATGCAGCTTGTCACGCTGGCCACGTGACCCGGAAGTGTCTGCGGACAGCGCTGGCTCCCGGCCTATAGAGTGAGATGAGCGCACAACCCTAGAGTCTGGCAAGACTGGCCCGTACAGGCAGGGGTACCTTTACCTTTACCTAATGATTAAAAATTCACCAGTTTTAATCCTCACAACAACCATGTGAGGTAGGTTATGCTGAGAGAAAAGTGAAATCACTAGCCCATGACCACCCAGTGAGCTTCCTGCCTGGTCACTGTGATAATCTAATTGTCATTAATATTATTTTATTATATTTCCATACCACCCTTTATCTGAAGATCATAGGGCAGTTTATAATATAAAAACACAAAAATATATACCATAATAACAAAAGCCTAAACCTCAATTGAAATGGATTAAAAAATCAGTTTCTTCCAAGAGCACCAGGATTTGGTCTGCAATCACCCGTTCAAGAACCTTTCCCAAGAAGGCCCTCCTAACAGTGTGGTAAGTTCTAGTGATCCATCTTGATTACCCAATGCAGAGCCTTTAATGTAGTGGGTCCTACTACAGTGGTACCTCGGGTTAAGTACTTAATTCATTCTGGAGGTCTGTTCTTAACCTGAAACTGCTCTTAACCTGAAGCACCACTTTAGCTAATGGGGCCTCCCGCTGCCACCGCGCCGCTGGAGCACGATTTCTGTTCTCATCCTGAAGCAAAGTTCTTAACCTGAAGCACTATTTCTGGGTTAGTGGAGTCTGTAACCTGAAGCGTATGTAACCTGAGGTACCACTGTATCTGGAACAACTTTGCCCTGGAAATAAGGCATGCACTAAGTATTGCACCATGTGCTTTCAACACATGCTAAAAGCTTTAATTTTTACCCAGGCCTTCCCAGATTAGTCTGCAGGCGACGATTTATAGTATACTATGTTGGTTTGTGTTATTTTATTATATACTATTGTTCTGAATTTTTGTGCAATGTTTTGTGGTTTTCAAAATGTTGAATGGTTTATACATGTTTCAAAATAAAATAAATAATAATAAATAATAGTTGAACAGGAAATTGAACCTGGGCCTCCCTAGTTCAAGGCTGATACTCTAACCACTACACCACGCCGGCTTATCCAGAGGCATGTGGTGGCTACTGATGGAAGCAGAATTATGGGCTGGATTGACTTTTGGTCTGATGTGTTCTAACAGCAGAGGAGTCCTGCCACAAAAAGAGATAGGACCAACCCAGGCATCACCCAACAACAGAGAATTTGAAAGGGAGGTTGATGAGAGCCTACTTCACTTATCACAAAATTAAAAACTTTCTATCCTTTCAAAACACAAAACATTTTAAAATGTTGTTGGGTTGAGAAGTGATGTGGGCTTATTGTGTACTTGTAACCTTTCGCCCACCACTTCAGATTGATTTTTTTATAACAGTTATACAAATACACTTAAAGCCACCATAAAATGAAAAATATGTCATTGCTAGCAATTTACTGCTGGTGTGATACAGCCAGACAAAACCACTTTCTCAATACAGTGCTGATTGATTTTCAATGTATACAGGGAGAAAAGTGGCAGATGTTATTTTTAATTCAGTTTATATTTAACAATTCAGGAACAAACCACAGGTTGTTTGGTTCGATTTTTGTGCCATGGTAAAAAAAAACCCCATTGTTTGCATTTAAAAACATATTACTTTTGCAGAAACAAAAGCGAACAAATGTTTAAAAACAACTTATTTCAACATAAATTGTTATAAACAGAAAGCAATAGATAAAAGAAACCAATACTTTGTTCTCTTGTGTGCAATTTTTTCAGACCATGCTGTAAAATGTAACTAGCATGACTCCTAAGGGCCTAAAATGCCATATTAATAAAAGGCAAATTCACTGTAAATTTGTGCAATACTTTTTTTCTTTAGAAATCGCTAACAGGGTTTTAGTGGCTAGAGAGGGAAATTTTTAACTAAAGATGGATAGATAAGAATGGGAGACCACCAGGAGTCCCATTTAAAAGTTGAATCTAGATAAACTGATTTTTTTTCTTTAAAAAAAGATATTTAAGTGTTGAAGAGAAATGTAAGCATTTGAGGAAATGTGAACATTTCATTTTCAACTGCTGGCCACTGTAGAAAACAGTATACTGGGCTAAATGAGCCCTTGGTCTGATCTTGGGGAAGAGTGATAATCAGCTCAGGCACACAGGGCTTCCAAAACTTGGGTCTCCAGCTGTTTTTGGACCACAACTCCCATCATCCCTAGCTGGCAGAACCAGTGGTCAGGGATAATGGGAACTGTAGTCCAAAAAGCAGGTGGAGACCCACGTTTTGGAAAGCCTGGTAGAAGACAATCTGTCTCCAGGATATTCCTGGTTCAGTTCCCAATGGCATCTGCCTGAAACCCTGGGGAGCCTCTGCCAGTCCGTGTAGGCAAAACTGAACTGGATGGTGCAAGGGTCCCAATTCAGTGCAAAGCACCTTCCCATATTCCTATTTAATTTGAAACTGCGCCAGATCAACAATATGGTAAAAGGTAAGCACCAGGAAAACAACATGGAAAAAGCTGGAGAAAAATCAACAGCAAAAACGTCATGAAGAACACCTGAAATGTGTTTGGTTTTTTTTTTAACATGGCGCCCAAATGCTACCCAAACCGGTGCCCGGCGGGAAAACAGAAAACTCTTCAAATTATCCCGAAACTGTCGAAATTAGCTGTTGCTAATCCTTTTATTACAAAAAAAAATTGTAAGCATTATATCGGCAATATTCCTCTCCGGTCTCCTTTTTTATATGATGATCTTTAGTGGAAAGCTCTGCAGGCGCAGACCCGCCGCTGACTGAGGGCAGCCTTCTGTATAGCAGGCCCCACTTTCCCCCTCAGCCGCGCGTCGCCAACGGGCGCCCTCAGCCATCGCTCCGGCCGCCGTGACCGGAGAGCAGCGCTCCCGCAAGCGAGCCGGGTCGGCAGTTGCGCCTGCGCACTCGCTCGCTTACCCTCCTGAGGCGGCGGCAGCGGCGGTTGCTGTTTTGCCGAGGCGGCGGCCACGGAGCTCTGCAGGGCCGCAGGTGGGAGACGGGGCTCCCCGAGGAGTTTGCGGGCAGCCAGCGCAGAGGCCGCGGCTCCCAGCGCCGCCCCGCACACGAAGCCGCCGAAGAAGCGGCTCCGGGCGAGGCGGGCGCCCAGCGACCCGGCCATGATAGCGGGCCTGAGGGAGGGGGGAGGAGCCTTTCCGCCTCCGCCTCAGTTCGCCTCTCTTTGCTCCGCCTCGTGAGGGGAGGAAAAAGCGCGCGAAAGCCAAGCTCGCCGCCGCCCGGCCTTCCTGAAGCGGGGCAAAAATCCGCTATCCTCGCTTGTACAATTAATTACTCGTGAGACGGGTTGAAGAAAGAGTCCATAAACTTATTTACTACAGTAAAATGTCCGTCCCCCCCAAGGAAACACCTGGAGTAATATTGTGTCCTCGTTTTGGGTGCCACATTTTAAGAAGGGTGTTGACAGGCTGGAAGGTGTGCAGAGGAGGGCGACCAAGATGGTCAAGGGTCTGGAAACCAAGCCTGATGAGGAACGGTTGAAGGAGCTGGGTAGGTTGAGCCTGGAAAAGAAGAGGATGAGGAGAGATAGGATTGTTGTTGTTGTTGTTTAGTCGTGTCCGACTCTTCATGACCCCATCGACCAGAGCACGCCAGGCACTCTCGTCTTCCACTGCCTCCCACAGTTTGGTCAGACTCATGTTTGTCGCTTCGAGAACACTGTCCAACCATCTCGTCCTCTGTCGTCCCCTTCTCCTTGTGCCCTCCATCTTTCCCAACATCAGGGTCTTTTCCAGGGAGTCTTCTCTTCTCATGAGGTGGCCAAAGTACTGGAGCCTCAGCTTCAGGATCTGTCCTTCCAGTGAGCACTCAGGGCTGATTTCCTTCAGAATGGATCGGTTTGATCTTCTTGCAGTCCATGGGACTCTCAAGAGTCTCCTCCAGCACCATAATCCAAAAGCATCCATTCTTTGGCGATCAGCCTTCTTTATGGTTCAGCTGTCACTTCCATACATCACTACTGGGAAAACCATAGCTTTTACTATATGGACCTTTGTTGGCAAGGTGATGTCTCTGCTTTTTAAGATGCTGTCTAGGTTTGTCATTGCTTTTCTCCCAAGAAGAGAGATATGATAGCCATCTTCAAATATCTTAAGGGCATAAAAGAGGGAGCATGCTTGTTTTCTCTTGCTCTAGAAGGTAGGACTTGAACCCATGGCTTCAAGTTACAAGGAAGGAGATTCCGGCCTAAACATCAGGAAGAACTTTCTGATGGTAAGAGCCATTTGACAGTGACACGGTCTCCGTCAGAAGATGGGTAACTTCTTCCTTCCTTGGAGGTTTTGAAGCAGAGGTTGGATGGTCTTCCATCAGGGATGCTTTAGTTGTTCCAGCATTGCAGGGGGGTAGACGGCCCTTGTGGTCCCTTCGAAATCTACAGTTATTCGATTATAAAGTACAACAATTCCGCATTCCGTTGTTTTATATTGGGAAATGTTTTTTTAACTACATATTTATGGATTGAACTGTTTTATTTGCTTTACAGGTGCATATTTCATTGCTTGTAGCCGGCCTTGGGACTTTGCAGTGGGGGGGGGGGCTAATGAGCCTAATAAAATTCAAACTGTTTCATATGCAAACGCAGTTCCAACTCCCATACAGATACATGCTGGGATAAATAGGGCTGCTTTGCGGGAGGCTGTTTTAAGGGGGGAGGGGGGCTTTATTCCATCAAAATCACATTTCTTTAAAAAGAATAAAATAAAAATTATAGAATAAGAAACTACCTCTTCCCCCTCAGCTGCCATGTCTGTTTGTGACATCACTGACAGTCCTTACATAGCCAGGGATGGGGAAACATCTGCCCAACCCTACTAGGCCTCACATTTTGGGGGGGGCACTTGTTAATAAAGAAATGATGACTGAGGAGTCCCCTCACAGCCTTCCCCTGCATTTGCTAAATAATCACATCCCTCATTTGTGTTGTTGGGATAAATTTATATAACATTCCAATGAACTTACAGAAGAATATATCTGATATACCGAAGAATATCAACAATCCAGCACAGATAATTTTACCCATGATGTTTTGTTTTTCCAGAATCTGCTAAAACAGAAGGGAGAGGTCAGCCGTTACCAGTAAGGGAAGAAATATTCCTTCGAGAAGCTTCTCCCGAAATGGAAGGCACACAAGACTCTGTAATTCTCTTCATGTGGGTGGCCTTAGGAAGCTGAATGCGAAGGAGGCAGGTACCAGCCCTTTGGATTGCAGCAAGGACAACCTGGGAGCATCTCTCACCTGCTGTGCTTGTACCTCCTCACTCTCCCATTCACTACCTCTGCACCAAGCCAAGAACAAAGACCAACATCTCGTCCTTTGAGCCCCATGTTGGGCAAAAGATTCCTGCAGGGGGTTGGACTCAAAGACCCTCGTGGTCCCTTCTAACTCTACAATTCTATGATTCTGTGATCTAAGAGCATTGCTTTCAAGTGAACACATCATTCTCAGTGCCCTGAAACACATTTAAAAGGCATTCAAAGGTTTTTATAAAAATAATCTTTATAAAAAATAATAATTTATTAGTTTTCCAATTGAAATTGTCATATGATCTCAACAATCAAGCAGAAACCACCTAAAATAGCATAAGATATAAAGTCTTTCTTCCTGCTCCCCAGAGATTTTAAGCTGTTAAAAGGGACCAAATGGGGAAATCCTTTCAATTCCTAAGAGGCAGTGAGTTGAGGGAGGCCAGGGCCACATCCACACCATTCGTTTAAAGTGCAGTGAAGCACTTTAAACACTCATGGCTTCTTACCCCAAAGAATTCTGGGAGCTATAGTTTGAAAAGGGTGCCCAGAGTTGTTAGGAGACCCCTCTGTTCCCCTCCCAGAGCAACAACTTCCTGAGTGGTTTAACCACCCATCCTTCTTTCCAGTGAATTCTGGGAATTGTAGCTCTGGGAGGGGAACAGGGGGGTCTCCTAACAACTCTCAGTCTCCTTAACCACCTACAGTTCCCAGAATCCATGAGGGGAAGCCATGCCTGTTTAAAGCATCACAGCACTTCCAGTGAACAGTGCAAATGTGGCCTAATGGTTTCTCCCCTCATTTTTGTCAAACTGCTTGTCTTGCTCCTGCATTATGGTATATAAGCTTCCATGAACCACAGCTCGTTTCATCAGATTGATGATGTTATCTCCTGAAACTCACAGCCACAGTGGGGAATGCAGAGGAGAAGAACAGACTCCATCACTTGCAATCCAGCAGATGTCCGCCTGCAGTCTCCCTTCAAAGCTCCTTCCCTCAGTTATGGCCACGGCCTTGTCCATTGCTCACTGTCAGTATTTCACATTCATTTCTCCGATGCAAATAGGGACATCCTGCGGTTCTCTTCATGACTTTCATGGCTGGTCTCGTGGAAAAGCTTGCCGACTCCAGACATCCCTGAAAGGCAAAGGCAAACAGATGAGTGGGATGGCCACCATCTGACAGCGTCCACCCAGGCACCTCCACTGGTTTCTGCCTGCCTAGGGCATCCACTGACATCATTTAAATGCAAATGCAAACTCCACCAGCTTCCGCCTAGGGACAGTCACCCGCTGCCATTGGGCAACTTCCCTCCTCTGTTTGGCTGCCTATTAACAAACAAGGCTTCCAAACCAGTTTGCATCCATTTCAGCCAGCGTAGCCTTGCGACATCCACTAGCCTGAATGCATACTCTTCCGGCAACCATCCACCACCTGCAGCCTCGCCAGGTCCATTGCCAGACGACCGCCTGCTTCAGAGCTGAATATCAGCTGCCTTCAAGTAGCAATCCCACTAGCAAGTAAACTTTGAACTTGCCTTCTCCTTGCTCCACAGCATTTCAGCGCTGGGTGATTGCCTCCTTCCGCCTGCCAGCTTGCTGCCATGGGGCAGGAGACCACTAGAGCTGAGTGCCACCGCTGCTGCCTATTTCTCTCTGGGAAGGGCAGCTGCCTTGCCTTTTGCCTTGGCCAACATTTATACCCACTCAGCTGCCTTTTTTTTTTTGTGACATCACAGTCAACAATCGTAGCAGCTGGGGAAGCATCACCATCACCCCCTCAGCCCTCACAACGGTGGGTGTAGCTCAGCAACCATTGGCTTCTTGGTCTATTACCAAGGAGATATATAGCCAAAATCAGGTGGAGAAGGAAGAGCAACTGAAGAGGGAACATCATTCACAGTACACGGGACAGGAAGCCACGGGTCTTGGGAGCAGCTGGGCTGGCGCCACCCCTGTCCTCTCTAATATTAGTGCCACTTTCAAGTCTCCAAGGTGTTCCTTCCACCAGCCTTGTTTTTAGATGTGCAAGGTTTCTCTGGTCGCGGAGGACAGCCTCCCGAGTCCAGTTCATCCACATCCTGCAGAAATGCACTTGTTTCCAGCTTTCCATGTGAGACCTTTAAATTACTTGAGACTCCAGAAGCCGCTTCAGTTTCTTCCCAGTAACATGGACCTTCTCATGAGCTTCAACATAATCTCCTCCACCAGATTTGATGAGCAAGTGAGTGGAAATCTCCTACAGTGTTGACTTGTGGCTAGCATTCCAGAAGCGCTTTCTCCAGTTGCATTAATTCTCTTTGGCTCCTGAATTGCGTGAGGACCAGCATTTCTTTATCCCAGCTTTTTTCTACAAGGAGCTTGAGCTGGTATACGTTGCAGCAAAAACAATGAACGCAGCTATCTTGCCTACCAGAGAAGAGACTAAAGGAGCACGCTTCTGGATGTTGTTGCTTACAGTAAAGTTTAAGAATGTATGAATAGCAGTTTGCAGACAGTGATCCAGGGGATCCTGGGAGACATCACACATTGCCTGTGAGATTAGGATAGTAGATGCAATTGAAAGGCACTTTGTTTTCTGGATCTGCCACCTCTACAGTGGCTTGTCGGTGAATTGGAGGCACTGCTGGTGTCCTCTCACCCTTGTTCCTGATGCAGAACTTCACTCATCTTTTCTTCCCTGACAGAGGAAGTGCCATTTTGTGGTTTGCCTCAGGTGCCAAAGTGTCTTGAGCTGACCCTGCCAGCAGCCATAAGGCCGAACCAATCTGGCAAGTGCTCTGTGTTAACAGTATGTGTACTCTGTATAACATTTAAGAATTGTAGAGCCTTTTTGGCAGAAGAAGCAGGTTCAAATGCTTTGAATAAATAAAACCAGTGCTTTTTTCCTGGGGGAATGCAGGGGTACGCATACCCCTAAACATGTTTTGAATCTTAGTTTGGCCTCATTGAAGGGCAGTATTTCAGTATCAGTTGGAAAATAAGAGTACCCCTAAACATTTTTAATGAAAAAAGCACTGAATAAAATAACCCGCTGCGGCACAAAGGGGTTCCAAGGCAGATCCTCTGTGACTTCTCTTTAGGAAGGTCAATCTGCAAAGTTCTTTAAATTCCTTCATCAGACTGAATGGGGATGAGGGGAAAGCTGGCATAGTGTGAAAGTCACAAAGTCTGCAGTTGTAATAGTTTAAAGCAGAGTCCTGGAGGAGACTTGCAAGCTAATGAATTATTTATTATTCATTGAATTTATATAAAACGCCCTATACCGGGAGGTCTCAGGGCAGTTCACAGAATAAAATCAAAATATAAAACCACAAAATACGTAATCAAAATAAAAACACCAACCCAATAACCACCCAGGTTATTGTCAGGCTGCAACCCTAATCCTAGTTACTTGGGAATAAGCTCCATAGAATTCAATGTGGCTTACTTCTGAGAAGCCATGGTCAGCAAATAGCCATGGCACATGCCCTGATCGGGGGTAAATAGGGAAGTTGTCCCTACAAATCACCAACACAAAATATTTGTAATTTATTGTTTATTTTAATATACAAAAAAAGATAAATTTGAAATAGTTCTTTCTAGGTTTTTTCCTCCTATTTGTTGGAGCGGAGCTGCTTCACACAGGGCAAAAATACTACATTCATACTGGTTTATTCGGGCACCCTGAACTTAACTGAAGCAGCAATACCCAAACTTGGCAGATCTAATTTCAAACATGAGACTCGTTTCTAAAATACCACAGTAAAAAGGAACAAAGATCCATTGCAAATTTATGAATTATGATACAATGTTTCAAAACATTTCCATTTCATAACTGCATACAGTGGATGTCTTCTTTAGGCCATCTTACATATGTATATCTATATTTATTTATATATATAATATATATAAAAAATCAGCACAATCCAAAAGGGGTTACAGCAATGAGCTCAACTCTCTGTATACTTTTTTGTTTGTTTGTGTGTGGATACTTTAATATAAATTTTGTTAAGTCAGTAGTACAAGCTATCTCTGGTCTACTTTTTTTATTTTAAGCTACAAGAGTGAAATATAACCTACAACATTTACGTTTCACGTATCTTGGTATACAAACAGTACATTGGAATTTGAGCCAGGACCAATAGTCATTTTAATTATTTCACCATCTGGTAGAGCTTTCTGCATTTATCAATTTCCTAAACTAGTTACTTAATTCTCATTTCTGAAGTTTGCCAAGAATTCAAATTGGAAGTCTTGTGGGAACAGGTTACTGCAAACTCCTCTGTAGGCCTTCTATGTACAAGTTAAGTAACACAGCTTAATAAGACATAACTATTCATCATAAAACTGATACACACATCTCACTATGCTAGACTAGTTTTAGGACTTTATTTCCTTGAATAAAGCATACCATTTAGAAGTAGTTGGTAAAAGGAACAATGGTTTTAAAAAAAGACAAAGAGTGTACTTCATTTTTTTGTGCCCCCTCCCTTCCGAATTTTGTTCTATCCTGTGACATTTACTATAAGCATCTAATGGTATAAACAATGCAGAAAGCTCTTTCCACAAGAACTGACAAACTGTACTTAAGTCAACTTTACAGTAGGAAATTCACCAAACTTAAGGACAAAATGTGACAAGTATTCACAGGTGAAAGACTGTAGGCTTCAGTTCTGATATTCAAATGGTGGTAGATTGGCAAGAGGAATGCCCTGGCTTTGTGCAAATGTAGGGGCATAGAACTGGAGACCGAGAAGCATGTTTTAAAACCACCTTTTTGCAGTATCAGCAAGTATCACTATATGACAAAACTTTTAACTTCATAGGAAGTTTTGGAGGGGACAGGTAGTTGAGTCTCCCCTCCCCCTGTAACCACTAAAAGCTTCACAAATGTTTGACACTGATAATTTCGCGTTGGCGGAGGCAAAAAAAAAATTATCTCCAACCTGCCGCGAATTTCATTTTTGATAGGAAGGTCTCTCTTATATTGGTAAAACAGCATGTGTCTCAATGACCAGGAATAAAAATTGTAAGACTGAACAGATTATTATTATTTTAAAAACCCTAAACCATTTCCCCTCCCCCCCCCACCGCTCCCAAAAAACCAAGATCAGTGAAAATAATGCTATAGATTTCCATTCCAGAGAAAATTGTAGTGCTGTTATTTGGAGAAGATCAGTCTCTACTAAAGGGCTCAATATGGATCGCCCCATGCTCTGTCCAAGTTGTACCCCTTTGGAACTTCATGTGCAGGGTCATGATAACCGGTGGCACCTATCCGCCATGTCAGATGTTCCAAGTAACTTTGACCAGATAACCAGGAAATATCTCCCAATAAAACACTGAACACAGTAGAAATCAAGGAAAGGAAGCACTTGTTCATAACGCCCTCTTGCTGTACATACATCCAACACAATTAGAGCTTGACACAAAAAAAGCCCTTTTGGTTTAACTGGGAGTGGGGAAAGGAACCACAAGCTTCAAAAATGAAATGTAAGCTGCAATCCTTAGGGATCCATTTTTTCCTTTCTGCATATAAATTATATAAAATATA